CTCTTCCTAGCGGCCTCCGTCTCCGCCCAGGCAGTCAGAATCACCTTCTCTACCAATTCCGTCTTGACCTCCGAATGCGCCAACAACACGCTCCTCTGCACATTGAAATCGGGGAGAAGGTTGCGTACATAGTGGACGTTAGCATCATGATCGGATTGCGCCCAACCGTACGCTTCTAGTTTCTGACGAAGTACTGATGCTCTTGTGAGATAGCGCCGGGGCTCCTCCCCTGATTGCTGCTTCAACGAGTACCACTGCCCCTGCAACTCCAACTTGTCCGTTTCTGCGTGCACTCGGAATAAGTTGAGAAATTGATCCCACGATTCAGTGGGGCAACCACTAGTTAGGATTGCAGGGACTATTGTCGGTACTTGAATCTTGGATATGATGAGCTGCCAAGCCTTTACCGCCCGATCTACAGCTTCCGTCCCATGCTCCACATTCAATGCCGAGATATTCGCATCCGTCTTCCCTACACGAATCGTGTTCTTCAATTCTACTGCCTCAAGGCAACGCTCCTGCTCCAACAAAGATCAAAATTGACTAGTGAAAACCATTACCGCCGTCTGTACATCGTCCTCGGGGCTAAACTTCCCGATGAATGCAGGGATTGTGATACCTGCGCTAATACGTATTGTTTCTTTATGGGTTGAGACTTCCCTGTATTCATCCTCCGGTTTTATCTTGACCCTCTGCAAGGCCCGCGCGAGGGTGTCGATGAGGCTGACGTCCGCCGGCGATCGGGGCTGGTCTTTGGGTCGCACGCTTGCCTCCGAGCCAGCCGGCCTCTCCAGCCGGGTGTCGCCTCCTTCGGAAGGCATGCCCTTGCTCTGTGTTGCGGGGCGCTCTGCTGCTGCTGCTTCTTCTACTTTGATCTCGACCTGCTCCTTGATAAGAGCGTCGATTACGTTTCTCTGCTCGTCCGAGAGCTGGAGCTCATCCAGCTGTTGCTCCATGATTTCCGCGTCACTGTTATCTGGCCGAACCCTTTTATAGCTAGCCCCACCTCGGGATGCCGTATGACGTCACACGTTAGCGTGTTAGGATAACCCGAACTGGGGGTAGATTGTCCCAAGACAAGACGTGTGTTGAATAGGGTGTCGGCAACTCGGCGGCCTTACGCCGAGGAGAAAAACTTGTTGTGATTAGTTGCATCCGCATACATACACAAGCCGTATACAACAGGGGTACCTTGTACATCCCTGGAATCCATTTTTCGAACCACACATGTCACCCGGTATTCCGCTCTACCTCATTCCATGGGAAGATCCAGCACCAACCACTTGGCGTTGCTACAAGTATATCTATCAACGGCTCCTTTTTTGAAGGGCACTGGAGACACGATTGGACGTGTGCACGAAGGTGGTCGAGGACGACGACTCAACCGGCCTTAACGCTAAGGTAGAGTGTGAAGCCCACGGACATTGACTGACAGAGCACCCGCACCGAAGCGATGTCAATGTCCATTGCTCAACAACCGGGCACTTGACACACCGAGCAACTCTACACTTTTTAGCTTTGTTTCACTCGTGTTCCACCGTCCACAAGCTGCCACACGCAATCCTGAGCTCAGGTGCCGTTAGCCCCGCTTACACTGGTTCTCGAAAGCTTTCGGCTTTGCTTGTCCGTGATGAATTCATGGCAGCACCTGGTTTTGGTCCGACTTTGCGAAAAACCTGGCTCATGCCTCCAGCCTCTACTTGAAACCAATTCACGAGGGCGAACAAAGTGAAGTGCTTCGGAGAACAAATGTGTGTAGGTCTATAGAAACGTACGCTCGACATCCTTGTGGGCGGCGGCCGAATGGTCAGAACCGACGCCAACAATGACCTCTTGACACCATTTGGGTTCAACCTTTTTTCCTTGGCTATCATTAGACTTGTGCACCATGTTAGTCGGCACTGTCTGGCGCCTTGAGGCTAGGGCCTAGACAGAATTGATGCGTCTATCTTGGACATCCATGTGGTATCATCCAGGTGCGCACTTTCGTTGTGGAATCGCTGGAGGCTATGTCACACGGGGTTCTTTCCGTCCAGCTTGTGTCAAGATGCCAGCATCTAGCATGTAAAACGGAGCGGTTGCTCGTGGCTATTCGTTAGTGCTGTCCGTGCTTTGGCCTCTCGCGACCACTCCATGAAATCTCAGCGCCAAAAGCATGAAACGATCGACGTACGTGCCCCCCTCTCTCATGTTTCTTCCCGCTGGGAAAGGTCTGACCACGAGTGACAAGAACAACGTTATGGACGGAGACATCGGTTCGTGTTCGGCTATGCCTGGTAAGTACAGAGCGACGACACTGGTGCAGAACTATTGCAGTGCATCAGTTGTCCACTTCGCTCACACCGATAGGATTTGAGCGTCACAAATACCGTTTTTTATTGTTGTTGCATCTTTGTTTCTAACCTGATTCGGCTATGTGGTGACACCCGTTGTAGGCGCACGTTTTCGACGTGGTTCGTGTGTTGAGGCGTCATTGTTCGCATGAACATGTGTAGAGAAGAACACGATTAGCAATTTTGTAGTCTTCGGTGTTGCTCTACAGCTGACAGCTCTTTGACCGTCAACGTGGGGTGTTGTGGTACATGAAAGATGAAGGACCCTGTCCACACCTATCCCGGGGCAGCGATGTTTAACATCGAAACCGTGGGATTGCTTAGTAAGATAACGTCGGTTTCCGACTTCGGACACGCGCGAAAATGCGAGAACGACTGACTTTTAAGGTGACCAAGCATATTCTTGGGACGATAATGAGGAAGGCACAAGTTTGAAACGCTTTCGGCGGAGATCGCCGCATTCGGAAGTCGGGAGCAGGGTTCATGTCTACCTCGATCCCAGGTTGCGACAGATCAGAAATCAGCGCTATCTTTTACAACACAGGCACATTGACGATTCTTAGAATTGAAAGGTGTTCAGTAGTGGCGAGCGGCGATGCGAGAAAGATAACTGAGCTCGGGCTGGTTTGGTCCGGTTCAACGATAGCGAGATGTGTCGATTCCAAATATTCCTTGGTTTCTGGCCCTCGGGTGACCATTACAGACCTTCACCAAATCAAAATGATCTCTACACACGAGCGGTCGAGATAGTCCACTGGCAGCAAATTTCTTACCCTTGACCGTACGTTTCCTAGATGGCGGACATTGCTGGACTAGACGGCAGAAGATTTGTGTCGCAAAAACTGAGACATGTTGTTACAGGACAATCCTTACCGTGATGGAGGTTCGCCCCCACGAAAGCGATGTTCCTTTGAAGACCGGTTTCTCCGCTCACATCCGAGGGGGTTTCGAAGTTGAGGTTGCTTTCTTCAAGGCAACACATTCTTCCTCGTGAGGTATTACGTTCTTCCTCGTGATTCTCGCTTCGCGTAGTATGCTTTGCTCCAGCAGCAGTGAGTGATCATCGATGCATGAACGCGGTTTCTCGGAGGTGAACATGCTCCTCTCACGGCTTGTTCCAAATGGATATGGTCTATCTCCCATTTGTAGTTTCTGTGTCGAGTTATTATTGTCCCTGAAGAGTCGGGAGTTCACCTACGTCGCCCCACAAGTCGAAATCCTATTAAGGGGGCTCGTTCGTATCCAAAACCGGTCCCCCTGGTGGTCTAGTTGGTAACCTCGAAACCTTCTAGAGGGAAGGTCAGTGGTTCGAATCCCGGCGTAAGCGTGCTTTCCTTGCAAAGTGAGTTTTTCTCTCGCTTCCGTTCCTGGCCTAGTGGATAGCGCTAGTTCGTATGTACACAGAGGGAAGAGAGTGCTGAACTCTTCTCGCATTAAAAATCGCAGGCAAAGTACCGCAGGAGGAGAGGGTAGAGAGGGGCTCTTCTGTGTGACCACGGGTTGGAGTAAACGGCAGTAGTGCCGTGAGCGCTGATTTGAAGTGAAGACAAAAAAATCTGAAAATTAAAGATCAAGAAATGTTATACGATTTCCATTTTCATTGTTTCGCGCCCGAGCTCGATCACGGCGCCCCTCTCGCTGTTGTATCCGCATGATACCTACATGTACAGGTATGATTGGTCGACTGTTAATAGGGTTCTGCATCGAATGGCGTAGACCACAATGTCGATGCCTTGACTAACCCATCCTAGATGACGATGATTTGAATGTGTCGAGCGTTGGAAATTTGATGTAGTGGGTCGTGGCCTTGGAACAGTTACGGTTGAAACCTCCAGACGGCGAGGTTGTGAACTTGTCCTTTTTTGTGACTTTCTGCCCTTTCATAGTATATTGCTCCCCAGGACCCACTAGTAACACATGCTTGAACACCTTCAACGTCGCCTTGGGCGAGACGCGCGACGGCAAGAGTTGGTACACATCGACGGAGAAGCTGCAACTAGCGTCCTTGGAGTTCTGCATGGCGTGCAGAGCCTATCAGATGCTGCATTTGATTGTTGACGTCCGAATCCCACGTATGCTACTGGCCACCGCGGATGGCCCACCTCAGCACCCGAAACGGCTATCTCGTAGGCGCGTGCCCCGGCTGAGAGCACGTCATGTGACGTGGAACATGCCTAGAGCAGCGGAATCGAGAAGTCCGATCTTTGTGCTGATGGACTTGGACCACCTGGAGTTCGGCGGTGCCTTCGAAGGATGCCTCGAGACTGTGACATGGCGCGGCTGGAATCGATTGCTTTTCACTTTTTTTCACCATTCAACACACCTATCGACCTGGTCAAATGGCCAGCATCGCTGGAGAGGCTTGCTTTTGGAAACAGTTTCAACCAACCGATTGAACATGTCGAGTTTCCGGCATCATTTGAGGCAGATCATATTCGCATTTTTTCATGTTTCAACCAGCCGATTGCTGGCGTCACTCTGCCGACTTCTCTGCAGAAGCTTACCTTGGGGGCAAGCTTCAACCATCCGATTGAAGATGTCGCGTGGCCACCGTTTCTGCAGGAGCTTATCTTCGGGAAATACTTCAGTCAGCCCATTAAACGGGCCAAGTTTCCGGCATCGCTGCAGAAGCTAAAATTTGACCAATAATCGTGTTTTAACCAACCGATGGCTGGCGTCATTCTGACGACGTCGCTGCAGCAACTTGCCTTGGGGGCAAGCTTCAACCATGCTTTGGACGGTGTCGCGTGGCAGTCGTCCCTGCAGGAGGTCATTCTTGGAAAAACCTTTAATCAGCCGATCGGGCGGGCCAAGTTTCCGGAATCGCTGCAGAAGCTCAGATTCCACAGGAGGTACTCGTGCTTCATCCAATCGATAGCTGGAGAGATTTTGCCGATGTCGCTGCAACAGCTTGCCTTCGGGGCAAACTTCAACCTTCCCGTAGAAGGTGTCGTGTGGCCGCCGTCCCTGCAGGGGCGTTTCGTCGGAAAACACTTCAACCAACCGATCAAGGGCGTTGTTTGGCCGTTGTCGCTGAATGCTCATCTTTGACGGTGAAGCGCGGTCCAACCAACGTATTAACCTTGTGGCGTGGCCAACATCGTTGCAGCAGCTCAAGTTTGGCAACGCCTTCGACCGTTCAATCAAACAGGCTAGGTTTCCGGGGTCCCTGCAGCAGCTCTTTTGGGGACGGATTCAACCAGCCCATTGAGAGCGTTCTATGGCCAGATTCACTTCAGAGGCTAACCTTCGGAGGGAGCTTGAACCAGACAGTTGACGCCGTGAGGTGGCCGTCGTCTTTGCAAGAGCATACGTTTGGGCGGTTCCACGATTTGGGGTGCAATGTAGTAGTGATGTACTCACGATTGAATCAAAGTGTCGGTACCAGCGTTTGGCCGGCATCGTTGCGGTGACTCACACTAGGTCACAGGTTCAGGCAGTCACTGCAAGGACTGGGCATTTGGATGCCCCACCTTCAAGTATTTCGTCTTCTTGACTACGGTTTTGGTAGCGATGGCCTACTGCGTGGAATCGAATGGCCGAATGGCCTCCATCACTTGACCGTGTTGGCTACGCAAAGATCCATTCGACTATACAGGTCTGTCGTCCAGACCTAGATGGTTAACTACGCAAAGAAAGGCGCAAGGTTTACTGGAGTCATGTTGTTTACGAAGCTCAAGTAGAATAGTGTTTTTTTCCGAAAGGTATCTAGAGCGCGGTCGAATGAGGGAATAGCTGTAGTGGCACCATGGCCAGCTGGAGTGCTTCCAAGTACACCAAAGACTAGTGTCACCCAAGGGTCCTTATCGTTTCAGTTGATGACGTGGATGACCCCAAATATATTACTGTTCACGGTTGGATGTAGTCAACGTGGGTGCTGAAGTTGCGGGTACGAGGATAACATGCTGTTGGCGGTGTCTGTTGGGCAGGGACCATACTTTCTTTTCAACACCTGTGCTCGGTTTCCCAGTCGCCACGAAGGAATCCGCTAAACATATCTGTGATTTGATGAAACAGAAACCTACGAAGATTCAGTCAACAGGAATCGCTAGAATCAGGCCTGGTTGCCTTCTGCTGCTGCTGTCAAGGCATGCGACGCCGATCGCAACAAGAACTGGTAGGCGCTGTAGCGCTTTCGTGACTGTGGTGTATTGTATGCATGGGTGACGGCAACTGAATCGCAGAACGTCAGCGGGAAAGATTGTGATGCAGTCTACAACAGTGAAGCGACGCCGATCGCAACAAGAACTGGTAGGCGCTGTAGCGCTTTCGTGACTGTGGTGTATTGTATGCATGGGTGACGGCAACTGAATCGCAGAACGTCAGCGGGAAAGATTGTGATGCAGTCTACAACAGTGAAGCGACGCCGATCGCAACAAGAACTGGTAGGCGCTGTAGCGCTTTCGTGACTGTGGTGTATTGTATGCATGGGTGACGGCAACTGAATCGCAGAACGTCAGCGGGAAAGATTGTGATGCAGTCTACAACAGTGAAGCGACGCCGATCGCAACAAGAACTGGTAGGCGCTGTAGCGCTTTCGTGACTGTGGTGTATTGTATGCATGGGTGACGGCAACTGAATCGCAGAACGTCAGCGGGAAAGATTGTGATGCAGTCTACAACAGTGAAGCGACGCCGATCGCAACAAGAACTGGTAGGCGCTGTAGCGCTTTCGTGACTGTGGTGTATTGTATGCATGGGTGACGGCAACTGAATCGCAGAACGTCAGCGGGAAAGATTGTGATGCAGTCTACAACAGTGAAGCGACGCCGATCGCAACAAGAACTGGTAGGCGCTGTAGCGCTTTCGTGACTGTGGTGTATTGTATGCATGGGTGACGGCAACTGAATCGCAGAACGTCAGCGGGAAAGATTGTGATGTAGTCTACAACAGTGAAGCACCGATACCAGGTAATCAGTGAACGCTTACATCATATCGAGTACCGAGCGGGGGTGGCTGCTTGGAGGTTTCGGGTATCTTTGGTGGTGTGTCTTATTGTCGACGTTCTGGACGTTCTCCAGGTTGTACGAAAACTCTGGTATAGTCTATCGCTTCGAAACGTTGTTACAGCCACGACTTCCTCGGATGTGAACCGAAGGGGGACACGAATCGAATCTCTGCTACCCTGCCACCCACCACGTGGAAGAAAGGCCACACCGGTGGGGGGGGG